CGACCAAGGGGCGGAAAAGAAAAACCAGGTCCTGTGCAAGGCGCAAATTCTGGTGACAGCTCGGCCCTGATTTGAACGGTTCGACTTGAATGGCTGGCTCCTGATTGTTTGTAACATGTTTTAACAATGGCCTAATCCGTGGGAAAAAACTTGGAACATATCATAGTCATTTGAGGGTCAGCATATTACTAGGGTTGAGGATAAAACAAAAGCTGGGCAAAACTTGAACCGCTGAGAAAACCCAAAATTACAACGCAACTTTGCCAAGGATTCTTACACTTATCCGAAGACTAAATTTTGCAGATCACAACGCCAAATCCTTGAAACAAACGATGCAAGGTGGTGAAAGGGCCACCAACAGCATGGAGTTTCAACTGCTGGTTTTGGGCCGGTCTGTCCAAGGATTCTTGGACATGCCCGTCCGAGATAATCTGAACGGGTCAAACTTGAGAGGGGGAACGCGACAGGAAGCAAAGCCTCTCCGTGTAAAAGCTGGCTGTGTGTAAAGGTGTGCTGTGCGCAAAAATGTCTGTGTGTAAAAGTTTTCTGTGTAAAAGCATCTTTGGGTAAAAGGGCCTGTGTAAAAACTGCTGTGCATAAAGACTTCTGTGCGTAAAGGTTTCTGTGCGGAAAGGCTTCTGTGCGGAAAGGTTTCTGTGTGTGTGTGTGTAAAAGCTGTTCTGGGTAAAGTTTCTGCGTGTAAAGTTTCGGTGTGTAAAAACTTCTTTGTGCAGTCTGCGTGGGCAAGTTTTTCTGTGTCAAAGTTTTCCTGTGTAAAAGTTTCTTCGTGTAAAAGTTGCTCTGTGCAAAGGTTTTTCTGTGTAAAAGGTTCTGTGTGTAAAAGCGCCTGTGTGCCTGTTTTTATGCGTGTAAATGCGTCTTTCTGCAAAGCATCGGTGTATAAAAACTTCTTTATCTGTGCACAAACCTCTCCGTGCAAGAGTATCTGCGCATAAAAACTGCTCTGTAAAGGTTTCTGTACGTAACGACGTCTGTTTGTAGAAACGTATCGGTGCAAAATGCGTCACCGCAGCAAAATCGCAAAAAGCAATTAAACAAACGAATCCAAACTCAAATGTTTCCTGTCGTTGCGTTTTTGATGATGTCGGTGATGCGCGCAGGGCCCCACAAGGGGTCATTTTGGCGGTGTGAAGCCAATGTTTTAAAAGCCTTCGGGACCAAAAAAAACACCGCAAATTTGCATGTTTTTGGCGCCTCACAGGCCAAAAACCACGGTACTGTTACTGTTACATTGACTGTTATTGTTGCTGTTGTTGTGGTTGTGGTTGTGGTTGTGGTTGTGGTTGTGGTTGTGGTTGTTGTTGTTGTTGTCGTTGTTGTCGTTGTTGTCGTTGTTGTCGCTGTTGTTGTTGCCGTTGCCCCTGCAGTTTTTTTCTCAGTCTCGTAGTGGCCAAAAATCGTCAAATAGATGGTGTTTTTCGTGTTTTTGTGAAACGCTCGGAGCAAAACACACCGTAAATACCAATGTTTTTGCGTTTCGGAAGCCCAAAACCACGGTATTTACGATGTTTCTTGCCTCGGGTGGCAAAAATTTACATTTTTTTGGACAGCACCTAGCAAAAACACTGGTATTTACACATTTTTCCGCATGTTGCAAGAACTACTTTTTCCATGCCAAAGACACAAAAGATCTGCTTTTAGGGTTCGTTTAAGGGGTTCGGGGGGATCTGTGCTTCGTGCTAAAAATTGCCGAAGCTATCGACCTCTGTTGTTGGGTTCTTAACTCACCAACTGTTTTCTGCTTGTCTCCTCAACTGGGATGGACGATGATGGACGCCATGAAGCAAACAAGTAACTCTCTCAAAGGCTCCCCCTAGATGATGTTCAAAACATGATAATGGATGTTGTTCAAACATGCTGAAAATGCTGGGACATCCTCTTCGGTAGGTTGAACTTCTTCGTCGAAGCGATGCTTGGAGTAGTCGGCCAGCATCTTCTTGAGTTCTGTGGGACCTCGGCTTGGTGTGGCAAGCTCTTGTGAACTCCAGCTGTCTTTGCGGTACTTTCGTTACACCCGAACCACATCTGATGAGAAATTGTCAAATTTTGTTGTTGGCATGACCTGGTTTCACTGCAGCACCACTAATATTGATGGCCTCCGAAGCATCTGCAGCAGCTACTAGCAGGGTGGCACATCCGGGGGGTGAGATCTTACCTCTCTGTTCGGCCACAAGTTTTTAGGGCTTACCACACCATGATGGGGTACAGAGTCAGAGAGAGTCCCTATAGTGGCCCTATAAATGGCATGAGTTGCTGCCTAATTCCCCACACAATGTGTCCACACTGAGGGTCTCTTACGGTATAGGAGTCAAGGCCGGGGTTAGATCAGTGTACGCTCTCTGGCCGACGGTGTTTTTCCGGTAAATTCTCGCTTAAAATGGCTCTTGTGACATGTCCATGTGCATTTCAACTGCGCAGGCTGGCACAAAGTCTGCGATGCGACTTTTCTTGAACTTTGGCCCCGGTATTTTCCCCGTAAATTCTTGCGTGAACTATGTGCATTTCGACTGTGCAGGCTCGTACCAGCGTTGGGCCCCAGCATTTTCCTGAGAATTCTCGCCTATTAATATTGCTCTTGTGAGATGTCCATGTGCATTTCGACTGCGCAGGCTCGCACAAAACGTGGGTATACTGGGGTTGGGACTCGGCATTTTTCCTGACAGTTCTCGCATAAAATGGCTCTTGTAAGATGTCCATGTGCATTTCGACTGCGCAGGCTGGCACAAAACGTGGGTACTGGAGTTGGGCCCCGGCATTTTTTTGGCAAATTCTCGGATAAAACTGCTCTAATGTCCGTGTGCATTTGGACTGCACAGGCTCGCACAAAACTGTTGTTCCAGGGTTGTTCTGCGGCAGATCCTTCTTTGTGAAGATCTTGGCCAAGGTCCTAGATGTCCCTGTGAGAAGATGTTGTGAAAATCCTGACGACATCCTGTCAAGAAGGTCCTTGCATAATCTTGTGAGCGAAGATCCTGCTGACATCCTCCAAGGGGTTCTTGCACGATCTTGCACAGGTCCTTATCAGAAGATCTGTATCTTGCAGGTGCCATGAATTAGGGGTGCTTGCCTGGATCTCTTCCAGGATGCTCTTGGGATCTTCATGCTAGGGGTCCTGGCATGAAGATCTTGGGCAAGGTCTTTTACAATTCCTTGTGGGAAGATCTAGTAGAGATCCTGGCGCAAGAGGTCCTTGCATGATCCCTCCTCAAGAGGTCCTTGCATTAATATCCTGAAGATGCGCGGCATTGGTGCTTGTCTACAAGTTCTTCTGGAATGCTCATAGGATGTTCTTGTCTGAAGATCTTGTGAGATCCTCTATACATAGAAGGTCCTTCTTTAACGATCTTTTGAAATTCTCTTACAGTAGATGTCCTGGTGTGAGGTTCTGGTATGAGATCCTGATGAGTAGACATCGCGTTGCTTCTTGTGCCAAAACAAGTTCCCCCTGCTGCAGTTGCGATAATGTCGACCCTGATCTGCTGCTTTTCCATCGCTACTGTTGCTTGTATCCGGCGCATTGATTTCCTACCCCCCCCACACTGTTTGGGGCCTCTTGCCGGAATATGTTTTTTTTGGTAGAAGCGGACCCCCTACCCTGTTGCAACTTCTACTTGCTGCTCAGCCTTGGGTCCGGTGCAATTCCAGAGTCCACCTTCCGGTGCAATATCATATAATAGTAACTATAGTACCAATAATAAAACAATAATAAATTAAACATAATAAAACCATCAAGTAGATTCAAATACCCTGGTGTACCCACTATATTAATGTGTAATATCCCGGATAATCCCCATGATCCGGTTGAAAAACGGCAAGCAAGCTTCTCAAAATGCCGTTGTGGTCAGCATCGTACTTCTCCTGAGGCTCAGACTGAGCTGTGTCTTAGAACGAAGCCATAGAATTGGCATGTATCCGCCACGAACACTCGGATCAAGAAGATCCAGACTTGTTGAATATTGGGGTGTCCTGATACCTAGCTATATCTATATCTATAATCTATATTTGTATCTATATCTATATATTATATATATATATCATCTCTCTCTCTCTCTCTCTCTCGCTGGGCGTAGCCGCCCATGCGACGCACAGAGGCGCCCTGTGAACTAGAGTGACTTCAGGTGACTTTTTCATCACACTTCAATGATCTTCATTGTATAATGTACACAAACACGTCTCACATACTGGTATGATTGAAGGAGTGATGGATCAGAATGGGAAGTTGTAGGACAACTGCCACCATTTGCCAAGCTCCTCTGCCTAGAGAGTGTGGCTGTGTCACTAGGCGAGGACAGCTTGAGACAGGAACTTGTCTTTGCAAAACGAGCTTCCAGAATTGACTGCGCCAATTCATTCTGTTGTCTCTTCATCTGGTTCTCCGCCGCTTTCCTAAAGAAGGGTCCGGCGAGCACGAACCCCAAGTCTGTGCTGTCGTGGGCCAAGAATCACGGGCATAAAAAATACGTACACACATATATATATATATGTATATATATATACACGTAATACACGACTAACAATTTTGCTGATTGGTCGTGTCTCCGTATTTTTGCCGTATCATTCTGCACTGAAGCCAAAAAAAAACAAACAGAAGAAACCAGTTCCTGACCATGTTTGAAGCCGCCTATCAGTTTTCGGACAAACAATGAGAACCAAGCTAGGTCCTCGGTTTTTTCACGGTGTTTATAATCCAAAAACCCAATCAACATCAATTAACCATCAATCAGTTCGTGTTTTTTGTGATTTCCCATGTCATCCTTCCAGGCCCCGTGGCCCAATGCCTTTGTAGCTCGGCTTCCACCAGAATGACTTGTCCTCGCGCCCTGGAGCAACTCGGGCTTAGCAATTTGAGAAGAAAATGACCAGAACGTGCCAAATCCAGCAGAATAATATAGAATAATTATAATTCTATTCCGGATCCAAATCTTTGGTCCCAGTCACGCACAAGGTTGAGCCATTGCGGTCAACTTCACCCTCCACTGACCATCCGTGCCTGCCACGCCGTGCTCCAACAGTTGCTGCAGCAGCGGCCGCCATGGTTGGAGCTTTGAGATTTTACGCAAAAACTGTCAAGATATCCTCATGCTGCAAACAAATCTTACCGTCCGTCTGCCTGTCTAATGTGTTGCAGTCCGGCTAGGCGGAACATCATGGGTTGCAAAGCCTGAAGTCGTGCTCACAAGGGCAGTGGTTCGAACCTCTTGGACGGTGTTGACGCCTGAAAAATCACCTGATCTTTGAGCACATGATGTTGGAGGGTCTGGGTGAATATGGTGAATTGTGGGTGGATTCCTACTCCACCAGCAGCTTGAACACACGAACACCATCGCAAAGCCAGATCCCCGGAGCTGACTTCCCCAGGAGTGGAGTGAAGCATCCATCACAAGATCATTGCGTGAGGTCTCTCATCGATAAAGAGTGCTACTTTGCCTGGCAACTGGCAACTGGCACTCTGCACCAAGGAACCTGCAAAAACCTGCCATGTTTCGGTGGCTCAAAGCAGACGCATTTTCCAAATTCTGACGCATCAGGCACAAATGTAATTCTTTCCGCGTGAAACTGGTGCCAGATTGACGTAGCTATGGGTCTAGACCTGCTTCTGGAGGCTTGTCTCATAATTATCCATCTTAAGCTTGGTTGTCGATGCCAAATATCGCAGAGTTGCATCTCAAAAGGATCACTTGAACTAATTTCAGGGATGCCTACCAGAGTAATTACAGTTTCAGGGTGACATGACCCATACCTCAAATCATTATGGAGGCACTAGCCTGTCCACTTCACAATGGGTCCGGTGGGTGAAACCAACCTGCCGTCATGGGTTTTTCGATGGTTTTTCACCAGCTTGGGGCCCAAGGCCCAGCAGGCGCATCTGTCAATGGGTTTAAAGGGAAATCTAAAGGAAACCATGGTTCTTATTCCCAAATCTAAGGCTTTCCCACATATTTGTCCTTATAATATCATATATTACCGCCATGGATGGGGCCAACACAGGCCAACCTCAATCAACAATCGGCAGGTTCCAAAGCCTACAACCTACAGCCGCTGGTGCGGAGGAGTTCTTACGGGCATGGATCAAAAATCTGAAACCCATCAAACCACACATCTTGATCAAACTGAATCCATCAGAATCCTTAACCCTCCCGTTTTTGGGCTGCAGAATTTTTGAAACATACCCGTCGTAACCATATTCCAGTGGTGGAATCGCCAATTGGCCCCGACCTCTTTGACACATAGAGATCACGCAGATGCGTCAGTCGCCCCACTGTTTGCCCTTTCCCGTTTGGGCAAGATCTTGCCCGCCGTCTGAAAGCAATCTTCCGAATCCACACTAGCCTTGGCTATCTTGGCTCAGGTGGCAAGCTCCCAGGAGTTCAGTAAAGCCCTTTGGGCCCCGTGTGGTTCCCATGACAAATATGTTTCCAAGAAAATCTATATACTGGGGATTACTGGGGAGAAAGTTGTAGAAAATCCCTTGACGAAGTCACCAGCAAAGCTTTCATTGAAGCACCACTTGACGGTTCCATTCTTTTCGAACAAACCCACATGGTGCTTTCTGGCAAGTTCCATTGGCTCTCTAGCTGATTGCGAAAATGACGGGTTTGAAGGTCCAGGGTCCAGAAGTTTCGTTGCTCAAAGCATACCCTTAGACATCTTAGACTTAGACGCCCAACTATTAGGCCGTCACCGAAAGTTGTTCATAGCCATGTGCACAGTTACATGTGCACATTTCCTTCTACACCCATCATCCTGGGTCATGTGATACACCCGCAGCATCCCACAATACAACTCATGTTTGTTTGTGACAAGTCCCACCGGATTGTTGGTGCTCGAAGGGATCCTCAAGGGTTCTGGGCCCCCATGCTGCATCGCCAGTCTCGTACGGAATGTCCAAGGAAGCGCCTTGAAGGGGGGTAGAACAAAGCGATGGGCTTTTAAAGGGGGTGGACCCCGTCCAGGTAACATCATGCTAATGAAACATCATGAAACACGACACCCGACCAGGAAAAAAACAAAAGAAACACGCTCACCCATTGCTGTGATATGTTCCATGACAGTTATCAGAGGGATTAAATTATGAACAGCTTCATGGCAGGGCCTGTGTCGCCACTGATCTCGCTCATAGCGAGTTCGTCACCTGCTCAGCATCAAACATCCACTCTGGCTTTTGGTATCGCCACTTCCCATGGCATGACAACGAGACTTTCTGGCTACTATGATTACTACGTAGCCAATTGGAAGGGAGCTCGGACATGTTCAGAATCTGGCCACATTGAAAGCAAAATCTGAAATCAAAACCCCTTTTTCTCACAAAGCCTTTATACCTGCTGCTTTGGTTCCCACTTCAAGAAGTATTGTACCTTGATGATCTTTGATGCACTGAGGGAGTTCTATCAAAATTGTTGCATGAGATTTGGCACCTGGGCCTTCATCTGGAGACATGGAGAGTGCCTGGAGGGAGGTCAAAAGGATTCAAAAGATTTCAAAAGATAATGTTCTAAGCAGTTCTATGCCCAAATGGTTCCTCGTTAATCCTAATTCTATGCCGCTCATGGATTTTCAAGGTGCAATATTACTTGTTGCTACCATTTGGCAAATCCTAAGAGTCACCATGCCATTCTGTTAAATATACTGCGGTCTTACTTGTACCTCTATCCGCATGACATTGGCTATCTGATGACATGGCTGACCAGCAGGCACTTAGCCATGCTGGCTTCTGCATTGGCAGAAGGAATGCTACCTGATATCAAGATATACGAAGCCCATAGGTTAATGAATTACCTAGGTTTTGCCCTTGTCACTGACTCCACAGCAGGAACACGATCTGGGTCTTTTCGTTCAAATATTGCGGAGGTCCACCATTTAATACGGGTTTCACCAGGGAAGAACATGGGTGTCTCCATTGTTTACCGCAATTCCGATTTCAGTGGTTTAAAAACTATTGTATATCTGAAACATCCTGAAACATCAATACTGATCTAGATTTCATAGTTCTCCACTTGTAAACAAATCATCTCTCTCTATGTAATTATATATATACGTATATATATATATATATCGCCTTATATCTTCCCAAATTCCATATTTTCCATGGCATTCCCAACAACATATCATTTTCATTCATCTTCCCTACAAGTATTGATGGGGGTAACTTTAAAAGTGTTCCCCCATATTTTCCATTGTATTTCCCTATCCAAATGTCCATGTTGTCCCCCAGCCTTGGAGGCCAGGCTTTGGGCCAAGGCTGAGGCCTCGGCTGGATACAAATAAGAGGATAAATACCTCCATGTATATAGATAGACAGAGAGAAAGATAGATACTGTAAATTTGCTTAGATTTAGAATGATTTAGATTTAGGGATTTAGATTCTAACTTTAGGGCCTTTAGGGTTTAAGATTTGGGGATTTAGATTGAGGGATTTAGGGTTATATAGATTTATATAGACTGAGGTTTAGATTCATACAGATGGATATTATGAAGAATGCACTCTCACTATACATGTCCTTCCACAAGGGGCCAAACCCTGCAAGTCAAAGTACTGCTATCCGCACGGACGACCACCCAACAGTCTATCCTACACATCTGCCAGAGGAAAATTGAAGCACCTATACGCACCTATTGATTTCGAAATCTGATTCCATCTGAGGCACCTCCTTGGAACTCTGACACTCCTCCTCGGCTGCAAAAAGGTGGCATTGCTTGGGCTGTTGATAATGTTTTTACGGTGGTCATCGCAACCGTAAAACATCTAACATTGCCATTTAAGTTCGACCACAAGAAACTTAGCATTTATCTAGCGTGGAACCCAAAAACGTCGCAAATTCATGCGATCTCTGTCCATTTCCAGAAGGAGACTTATCTTCCACGTGCATTTTGTGCTCTCGGTACCACGGCGCGCTGGCTCCTCGGGAGCTCCCATGGATCGAACCTCCGAGTTCAGATGGGTGCTCGTGTCCTCCTGGACCATGATGGATATGATGGGACAACCGCTTCTGCAAGAAAAGCATTAAAAATAGCAGGCAAAATTGAACATTAGAGAAACAATGAGAAACATATACCCCCAGGTTGTCTCATACCCCCTTGTCGACCAAATCTGGTGTCTAGAATGGAATCCTAAAGGGAGATCTTAAATGGGTTCTTCAATGGCGTGCCTATCTCCAACAAAAAATAGTGATTCAGAGTAAAAACGATGTCGAAATTTGATCCAGAAAAATTGGTCCATTGGTTCGGCCACATTGTCGCGACATAGTGCAATCGAGCTTTATAAATCATCCTAAACCATGGTTTAAACAGGAGGATCAAACTGGCAAATTGGTTTCAACCACCGGCTCACTGGGGACCACAATACCTGCACAAAACCTGCACCATACATCATCATATAGTATTACATGTACAAACCTCCAAAGTTCTACACGGGTACCCATGCAGGGGTTCTACATTCTAGAACATACCAGCTGGAGGGTAGAGAAAAATGGCGGTGAAAGAAACAACATTGGATACTGACCAACTTAAAATGGCACACCTGACAAACGATCAATACAAACTCACGAAACAAGAAATCATAAGATGCAAGGAAGGATCAAAAATTCCAATATATCCATATATAATTTTAATAAGTATATATATATATATATATATGTACAGATATATTTTAAAAAAAATTACACCGGCATAGACCCCAGATAGAAAAGGTTGGAACTGATGGTTCAGTTCCCAACGTGGGAACCAAAGGTTACCATGGCAAGGAACTGCCGGTTCCCAGACCTTGAAACTTACGGTTCCCAACCTGGGAACCAGAGGTTACCATTGCAAGGAATTGCCGGTTCCCAGAAGTTAGAATTTATGCTTTCGAAGCTAAGCAACTATCATTGTAAGGAACTGCGGATTCCCAAAGTTTGAAACTCATGGTTCCAAACCTGAAAATGTAACGTTCCCAGTTGGAAGGATCTGTTGATTGCAAAAAGTTAGAACTCATGGTTCTTAATGTTGTTTTGTTTTGTTTACTGAGCCGGTAACAGAACCTTTTGTTTTGCTTAATGGACCGGTAGCGGAATGTTTGCGTTTGGCTGTTGGGCCGGCATAAAAATGTTTTTGCACGAAACAGGTGCATGTCAAACTGATATGAAAACATTTTCTTTACAACTTCATGGTTTTGCTTGATGGACCGGTACAGAACGCTTTGTTTTGCTTAATGGACAGGTACCGGAATGTTTGCGTTTGGTTCATGGCAAGGAACTGCCGGTTCCCAAAGGTTGGAACTCACGGTTGCCAACGTGGGAACCACAGGTTACCATTGCAAGGAACTGCCGGTTCCCACAGGTTAGAAGTCATGGTTCCCAACCTGGGAAGCAGAGGTTACCATTGCAAGCAACTGCCGGTTACCAGAGGTTGGAACTCATGCTTCCCAACCTGGGAACCATAGGTTACCATTGCAAAGAACTTCCAATTCCTAAAGGTTGGAACTGATGGTTCCCAACGTGGGAACCAAAGGTTACCATGGCAAGGAACTGCCGGTTCCCACAGGTTAGAAGTCATGGTTCCCAACCTGGGAACCAGAGGTGGCCATTGCAAGCAACTGCCGGTTCCCAGAGGTTGGAACTCATGCTTCCCAACCTGGGAACCATAGGTTACCATTGCAAAGAACTTCCAATTCCTAAAGGTTGGAACTGATGGTTCCCAACGTGGGAACCAAAGGTTACCATGGCAAGGAACTGCCGGTTCCCACAGGTTAGAAGTCATGGTTCCCAACCTGGGAACCAGAGGTTACCATTGCAAGCAACTGCCGGTTCCCAGAGGTTGGAACTCATGCTTCCCAACCTGCAGAGAATTTCAAATTCCTAAAGGTTGCAACTGATGGTTCCCAACGTGGGAACCAAAGGTTACCATAGCAAGGAACTGCCGGTTCCCAGACCTTGAAACTTACGGTTCCCAACCTGGGAACCAGAGGTTACCATTGCAAGGAATTGCCGGTTCCCAGAAGTTAGAATTTATGTTTTCGAAGCTAAGCGGCTATCATTGTAAGGAACTGCGGGTTCCCAAAGCTTGAAACTCATGGTTCCAAGCCTGAAAAAGTAACGTTACCAGTGGAAGGATCTGTTGATTGCAAAAAGTTAGACCTCATGGTTCTTAATGTTGTTTTGCTTTGTTTACTGAGCCGGTAACAGAACCTTTTGTTTTGCTTAATGGACCGGTAGCGGAATGTTTGTGTTTGGCTGTTGGGCCGGCATATTTTTTTTTGCACGAAAAAGGTGCATGTCAAAATGATATGAAAACAGTTTCTTTACAATTTTATTGTTTTGCTCAATGGACCGGTACAGAACGCTTTGTTTTGCTTAATGGACCGGTACCGGAATGTTTGCGTTTGGTTCATGGCAAGGAACTGCCGGTTACCAAAGGTTGGAACTCACGGTTGCCAACGTGGGAACCACAGGTTACCATTGCAAGGAACTGCCGGTTCCCAGAGGTTGGAACTCCTGGTTCCCAACCTGGGAACCATGGGTTACCATTGCAAGCAACTGCCGGTTACCAGAGGTTGGAACTCATGCTTCCCAACCTGGGAACCAAAGGTTACCATTGCAAAGAACTTCCGGTTCCTAAAGTTGGAACTGACGGTTCCCAACGTGGGAACCACCATGGCAAGGAACTGCCGGTTCCCAGACCTTGAAACTTACGGTTCCCAACCTGGGAACCAGAGGTTACCATTGCAAGGAATTTCCGGTTCTCCAGAAGTTAGAATTTATGTTTTCGAAGCTAAGCGGCTATCATTGTAAGGAACTGCGGGTTCCCAAAGCTTGAAACTCATGGTTCCAAGCCTGAAAATGTAACGTTCCCAGTTGGAAGGATCTGTTGATTGCAAAAAGTTAGAACTCATGGTTCTTAATGTTGTTTTGTTTTGTTTACTGAGCCGGTAACAGAACCTTTTGTTTTGCTTAATGGACCGGTAGCGGAATGTTTGCGTTTGGCTGTTGGGCCGGCAAAAAAAAGTTTTTGCACGAAAATGGTGCATGTCAAAATGATATGAAAACAGTTTCTTTACAATTTTTTGGTTTTGCGTAATGGACCGGTACAGAACGCTTTGTTTTGCTTAATGGACCGGTACCGGAATGTTTGCGTTTGGTTCATGGTAAGGAACTGCCGGTTCCCAGAGGTTGCAACTCATGCTTCCCAACCTGGGAACCATAGGTTACCATTGCAAAGAACTTCCAATTCCTAAAGGTTGGAACTGATGGTTCCCAACGTGGGAACCAAAGGTTACCATGGCAAGCAACTGCCGGTTACCAGAGGTTGGAACTCATGCTTCCCAACCTGGGAACCAAAGGTTACCATTGCAAAGAACTTCCGGTTCCTAAAGTTGGAACTGACGGTTCCCAACAAGGGAACCACCATGGCAAGGAACTGCCGGTTCCCAGACCTTGAAACTTACGGTTCCCAACCTGGGAACCAGAGGTTACCATTGCAAGGAATTGCCGGTTCCCAGAAGTTAGAATTTATGTTACCTTTGCCAGACTTCGCCACTGCAGTCTGAACAGCACAGCACCCTGCACAGCACCCTGCACAGCAATTTTGCCAGACCGCAGTCTGGACAACACCCTGCACAGCACCTTTGCCAGACTTCGCCCCCGCAGTCTGGACAACACCCTGCACAGCACCCTGCACAGCACCCTGCACAGCCCCCTTGCACAGCCCCCTTGCACAGCACCCTGCACAGCACCCTGCACAGCACCCTGCACACCACCCTGCACAGCACCTTTGCCAGACTTCGCCACTGCAGTCTGAACAGCACTCTGCACAGCCCCCTGCACAGCACCTTTGCCAGACTTCGCCACTGCAGTCTGAACAGCACAGCACCCTGCACAGCACCCTGCACAGCACCCTGCACAGCACCTTTGCCAGACTTCGCCACCGCAGTCTGGACAGCACCTTTGCCAGACTTCGCCACCGCACTCTGGACAACACCCTGCAGAGCACCTTGCACAGCACCCTGCACAGCACCTTTGCCAGACTTCGCCACCGCAGTCTGGACAACACCCTGCAGAGCACCCTGCAGAGCACCCTGCACAGCACCTTTGCCAGACTTCGCCACCGCAGTCTGGACAGCACCCTGCACAGCACCCTGCACAGACTTCGCCACCGCAGTCTGGACAGCACCTTTGCCAGACTTCGCCACCGCACTCTGGACAACACCCTGCACAGCACCTTTGCCAGACTTCGCCACCGCAGTCTGCATGGACAGCACCCTGCACAGCACCCTGCACAGCACCTTTGCCAGACTTCGCCACCGCACTGCACTCTGGACAACACCCTGCACAGCACCCTGCACAGCACCCTGCACAGCACGCTGCACAGCACCCTGCACAGCACCTTTGCCAGACTTCGCCACCGCAGTCTGGACAGCACTCTGCACAGCACCCTGCACAGCACCCTGCACAGCACCTTTGCCAGACTTCGCCACCGCAGTTTGGACAGCACCCTGCACAGCACCCTGCACAGCACCCTGCACAGCACCTTTGCCAGACTTCGCCACCGCAGTCTGGACAGCACCCTGCACAGCACTGCACAGCACCTGCACAGCACCTTTGCCAGACTTCGCCACAGCAGTCTGCCGACAGCCCCTGCACAGCACCCTGCACAGCACCTTTGCCAGACTTCGCCACTGCAGTCTGGACAACACCCTGCAGAGCACCCTGCACAGCACCTTTGCCAGACTTCGCCACCGCAGTCTGGACAACACCCTGCACAGCACCCTGCACAGCACCCTGCACAGCACAGCTTTCTGCACAGCACCCCGCACAGCACCTTTGCCAGACTTCGCCACCGCAGTCTGGACAGCACCCTGCACAGCACCCTGCACAGCACCCTGCACAGCACCCTGCACAGCACCCTGACACACCCTGCACAGCACCCTGCACAGCACCCTGCACAGCACCTTTGCCAGACTTCGCCACCGCAGTCTGGACAGCACCCTGCACAGCACCCTGCACAGCACCTTTGCCAGACTTCGCCACCGCAGTCTGGACAGCACCCTGCACAGCACCCTGCACAGCACCTTGGCCAAAAGTTCGCCACCGAAGACCCCACCTTTGAGAAGTAAGAACCCCTATAGCTTGCCAGCTATCTGGGGAAAAAAAAACTTCTAATATGATCTAATCAACCAAAACACACGTAATGGGTATTTTTTGCAGCTTCACTCTATCAGCACTTTTTCGGCTTTGCCTCCGCTGGGCTGCCAGGATCTCGGGCTTCACCTGGCAAGATGCACACACCATGCACAAACAAAAACATGCTGATTGCATATGATTAATTATTAATTATGAGTGTATACAATGTATATAATATTATATTAATATAATTATAATTATGTAATTATATATATACACATCATTGTACACCATATGTGTGTGCAAATGGAAAACTTATAAAACACACACACAAACAAACAAACAATGCGATGTTGCAGCTTTTTCAATTCCGATTCTACGACAATGCTGACAGTCCGCAAATCAGTGAGCACTGGGATGTTGAGGTCGTGGCTTTCATCATCGCTGTCCTCGTAAAACTCCTGCGGAACTCAGCTGCTTCAAGTCGCGTCACCCTGGATTACGATGGCCTGGAAAAGGCAACCATGAGGGCCAAATCAAAATGGTTGCTGGGACATGCTGGGACTAAGCCAGCCGAGAATCGAAACCAAAAAAGAAAACATAATAAACATAATAATGAAAACATTATGATGTATTGGCATATTGGTATGGTAATGTACGGTATGGATTGGTACATTGAGATTTCCTCGTCACGTCTGTCCTCGTCTTCGCTGTATCCTTCAACCTGCCAAGGCACCGCGATGACAAAGGATGCACCCACAAGAGCCCACAACCTCTTCTCGCAGCACAAGTTATTCCCACCCAGAACCTCTCCAGGATTTCAAAAGCACGAGAAGTGGATCTATAGACCCAGAGTAGCGATAAATGACGATAAATCTCTCAAATACATCAAAATAATTTAAAATACATTAAGATACTGGGTGCCCTGCAGCTCACTACGTCACAGACATCGGCCTGAGCAGGGGCAGATTCCACCTGTCGCGGCTGCCGCGGGGAAGGATCTGTCCGGGGCAGATCTTCTTCGACGTGCGACGGCGTGAGGTCTCGCCTTGGCAGGTGACTGCAGAATGACTGTCACGCATCCCGTGACAACGACTGAACCTCTGATATATGGGCCGAAAGTAGCCCAATACCCCTAAAAAGTATTAAAATTATATATTAAAAAGTATTAAATAACTGGGTTGCGACCAAAATGCTCTAAATATCTCTAAATCATCGAACAAATCTGTGGTCCCACTGGGTCTTGAATTTCAAACTATTCACGAATAGAACATAGACAAAATGAAGAATTGAATTGATGAGAATTAAGTAGAAGTGATTCGTAGTGATTCAGCAAGAGTCAGAGTCGCTCCGAAACCTGGTGCCGAACTTTTTGGCTCAGGCCCTGCCCCACCAAAATTTGGGCGCGAAAGAAAAGGTGCCTCCATTGGCTTTGGAGGTGGTTGCGGTGGCTCCATTTCCAGTGATGATCCTACTGTCCAGTTGGCAGTGGAAGCACCTGAGGGCCGCTCTTCTGGCAAACCAACATGTCAGCAGTCGCGTGACACTGAGTTCTGCCAGCCGACTGGTGGACACTGGGAACCCAGGTACGGAATGGTCTTTCCGCATGCTGTGGTCATTTGTGATGCTGTATTCGTATGGTCGTGTTCCCGATTGCTTGCATTGCAACACATTTGGGAAGCTGAGTTCAAAGCAAACAGAGAAGCAGCCCTATGATGATTGTGATGACTTGCCCCTTTGGCAACCTTCAGAAAGGATATGATACCCCTGCAAGCTTCAAGAATTGTGTCACGCAAGCACTTTCTGCATGCTCTCTGCTTCCCAAAATGAATTTCAGCCGTGCTAGTCTTCAGCTTGTGTCGATCATTGCGACAGCCACAGCTCCCTGCGTTTGGGGACATGTTGTCCACCAAATATCCTCCAGTAAACTGACATAGCCATGGAATCCATGGCCCATGCATAGATGGTTTACTTTGCAACGTTTAGCAATTCAACATGATTCAACATGGCAATGCTTCGATGTTCCATGGATTTCCATAGCATTACTGGAGTCATTACTGGAGTCATTACTGGAGGGTACATCACAAGCCATTGCAAAATCCATTGGATCCATGGGACCATCGCGGTACATTGGCGGTACATTTTTCCGGAAATCACCAGGAGGTCGGATAGACAGATCTGAATGTCTCGATCCCATCATCTCCATGTCTCACATGTGATGGCTTGTATCAATACTTAATGGCTTAATCTATTCAATATGTGGCTTAATATGTATTAATATTAATATGTATTAATATGTATTAATATGTATTAATATGTATTAATATGTATTAATATGTATTAAGATGTATTCTGTATTAATATGTATTATATAATATGTATTAATATTTATTAATATATATTAATATGTATTATAATATGTATTATAATATGTATTATAATATGTATCAATACATGTATGTAATTCTTCATACCCAATTAGCCAACCAACATGTACAAGAGCATTCGTTCTCCTACTTTTCTTGTGTCCTGACCTGCCACCGGGGTACAGGGCAGCTGATCAAACGTGCCACAGTCTCTGTGGCCCTCGCTGCCGTGGTGAAACCAAGAGAAGCTCTACTCACCAACTGCTAACACCTGAGGAGAACACTACCGTAGGATTGGAAAGTTGAAGATGCATGAAGATGCATTATTTGATTGCGGGAACTAGTGGTGTCGCATCCGTTCCGCAAGGTCATCCAAGTGTGTATACCTATAGAGCCTATACCCCGAAATATGATGAAATATGCATCCGTCACACTTGGTATGACCCAAATCTATCCAAATCTCCATTGAAATCGATGAACCCCTGGATTCACCCTTTAGTTCAGGGCCAACTTTAAGTCCGGCACGGCGCAAAAGAAAAGGCGCAGCCAAGGCACGGCGCTGTTTCAGTTCGATCGCCAAACCACATCTTCCTCCATGACCTCGTGGATCGATGCAGCCTGGAAGCTGAAGTATCATGGCACCATGCCTTGGGCACACGCAATATGTACATGTATATCTATATATATATATATCTATTACATAATAATTATATATATATGCATTTAAAAAAGAAACTAAGTGGAATATATATATATATTATACGTATGACCTTGTGCCCCCTCATTGTGTTAGTCTGTTAGTCAGTACAGATCCGGCCCTAGCCTGGATTTCTACAAATGAAAACCTCTTGTCAAAAAAAACTACAAAATGAAAAGCCAGGGTCCGGGTGAATCAACATAGGTTTGCTTCAAAATGACATGCCCGACAGCAAAAATCAACCCAAAAGGGACAACATGTTACCACGTGTTTTTTGAGTAGATCATTTTGTAGCTGCTCAATATGTCTATCTTTATTGCCAATGAAAAACTACAAAATGTTTTCCGGGTCAAAAAAAATATGTTATCCAAAAATGAGCAGCTAAAATGATTTTACATCCTAACAATGTAACCCCAAAAACAGCCTCAAAAATCTACTTTGCTACAAAATGAATTGCCCTGACTGCACAGGCAGAGCTAAATTTCCTCTAAAACTAGGTTTACATTGTGGCATCAAGGCCTACCATTCTGTAGCGGAAATTTCTACCCGGATCTACAGAGTATATATAAAGGTGACTGGGAGGTGAGGATATCACCTGTGGGATCCGCCCTAACCGTGATGGATGCTCTTGGAAGATGTTGCACTCCATTCATCCAAGAAGGTCATTGTCAGTCCCTGTGTGTACTGGAAGGTTTCAAAACCACGAACCAGCAGGAATATTGACGGGCGTTTATTTAAATCTTACCCTGCCCAAGACAAATGTCCAAGTGGAAAACGACCTGGAAGCCCCTGGACAGTGGTTCTCACAAGAGGAGTTTGGATTTCCACTCCCCTGTTGCCGCAAAATGATCCCAATTAAGTGTCTAAGAGATTGATCCAATCACGCTTTAATACCAACAAGAAATTGACGCAACGCTCGCCCACAACATGGCTCCTCAGTGCGGCTGCATACGCGCGGTGGGATGGGGCCTCTGCAAATCTCTGCAGCTTAAGGTAACCAGGCTGAGTCCATTGAGAACATGCAACCCCAATTTCGCCAATTTATTAGACATCTATGATATGGGCATATTGAATCATATTGCATACTATTGAATACTATATGTAAAACCGAATCACCATTATAACTCTGTGTGTGTCAAATTGCCGGCACCTCCAATGCCCCCAGGGAGGCGAAGGCGTTCGATGATCACCGCAGGAACCTTCGGCTCCGGCTCGTCACAGGTGAGGTTCTCCTGACGGCACATGGACAAGCTTCAACTGGAAACGAAGAATCCTTGGTTGAGTTTATATAGTTTATTAATTGAAGGTGTCATGGGGTGTTACCAATTTTATCCAGTTTTAAGAAATACCATGGCGTCTTCAGGAGGTAATTAATCCCAGGTTGACAATAGTGATGTGTGTACAATAATGTGATGCCCTGTACCCTGCATCAACAAGCTACGAGTAGTTCTTAATGCAGGGTTGGAATCTATAACCATGGCATGGACTTAGCTAATAACTCACCCATGCCAAAACAAAGATCCACAAAGAATTGTGCATTCCTGCTTCAAAACCTACAATTCTTCCATGGCTCTGAGGTTCCTTTTTCATCCATCTCAAGCTGCTCATTTCACATCTTCCAAAACCAGCGCATTGTGTATGTGTTGAATTCCCTCAAGCCCTCAACCTTTACACTTTTTCAAGATTTGTCTGATATGTCCACCGACTCCGCGCAGTCCTTGGTCCTTTCAAAGGGATTCCATGGTCGACACGGGTAGTCTTCCACGGATGGTTCCCATGACATTTCAATGACCGTGTCCTGGGCTGCGGCATTGAGGCTTGGTCAAAAGTCAAAACCGAACGGAATACCAGAAAAACGATAGAAAATCCAAGTCATCCCAGAGTTCCTTCTATAGTTCCAACATGTTCCAACATGCCCTAAGATGTTCCATGTTCCAAGTTGAATATGCTAAATATCCTTCAAGGTTTCATAGAGTCATAGAGGATATGTGAATTTCCGGTCCTTGAGATTGGCTCCATCATGCGACAAGGGTGACACCTCCTCACCTTGGCACACCCAGCCAGGAAAAGGATGGACAAGGCATGAGTACATGGTAGATATGGAGTCAATTGGTCCAATGTACGTCGTGTGGGTGTGGATACCTGATGCTACCAACAGCTGAGTTGGCGGCATCCAAGAACAACAAAAATACGGGCTGCCTACGCCGGAGCTTACGCGCTGCCTACGCGCCCACATTTTGAGCTTACGCGCAGAAATAGCTTATGTTGATGCTTCTGCGGGCTTACGCACACCAGGCTTTGCTTACACGAGGTCCTTATTGCCCCTTTCTTACTAAAAATGAACAACTGGGTCTTGAACCACTTGACTTTGTGCGACTTTTTGGAAATCTGAATGCGCTTCCCATGCGCCACTATGCAGGGTTGTCCGTGACCTTATATCAACGTAGATGCCTCATCTGCAGGCAAATCTGCTGGCTGAGGGCGGGGCTTGAATGGCACATCTTCTTCAGAGATGCCGGCAGAGGCAGTGGGGAGTTCCGATTGCAGCAGTGATGATGCCTGCAGCATGCTGCGGCAGGGTGTGTGAATTTCGAGTGGCATTAGGGTGTGGCAGAATTTTCCTGATGTCTTGGCAGTACCACCAGAGATGATGGATCGCCCACAGATTTGACCAGTGAAACCTCCAGGCTTTACAGTGTACAATTAGTGAGTTTTATGTTTTTCGGGATTGTAATATCAAGATAACATCACCAAATTTCACACAGGAATCAGAATTTGGATGAAATTGATATGATTCCATCCCCTCATCCTTGAACACTTTCTGAACTAGTCCCGGTTACATCCACTTCAAAGGGGTCTGGGTTTCGCACATTTGGGTCACATTTGGCAATGCAATTCCACTCAACGAGCAAGTCTATGGTCATAATCTAATTAGTCATGACTCATGACATGTCATAATCATAGGGGTTACATGCCAAACACATCCCAACTGTTGGTTGCTATCACCATGGTTAAGTATCTCCATAAAACTCACCCCCCACAGCAACGTACCCCTCGCCGTGCCTGGTAGCTCTGGGGGTGGTCCTGGAGCCCAATCTCGAAACCACCTGCTCCACGTTGAAGTCTGGCGCAGCATCGACGCGCCGCACGTGGGCAGGAAAACATGAGAAACTCAGCTGAAAATGCCACTGAAAGGAAGACCCTTCCATCATGTATGGGATCTTTTGAATATTCTTTCTCCACCGCCCTCTCCAGCAGTTGTGCAGGAATGTCAAGGTTTACAACTGTTCATATTTATTCTCCAGGTCGCTGCATTGACAACAAAATCTGCCAAACCCATTCTCCGCGCAATCTCTCTGAACGAGATCTCTGAGCAAGATCTCTGTTCCCTTGACCCAGTCTCTGTACAAGGTCTCTATTAGAGATCTCTTGGCAAGATCTCCGTACAAGCTCCCCATAAAGAGGTCTCTTGGCAAGAGCTCTTGAAGAGATCTCTGTACAAGCTCTCTATGAGAGCTCTCTTGGCAACATCTATGCAAGAGACCTCTTGGATCTCTGTACAAATATCTATCAGAGCTCGCGGTACAAGATCTCTATAAGAGGTCGCTTGGATCTCTCTGCGCAAGCTCTCTCTCTATATATATATATATTATAAAAGACCTAGATCTCTGCGCAAGATCTCAATAAGCACCGCGCCACAACGAGAGCGATCCGACACGCACAAATGCACATGGACATCTCACGAGGGGACGTTTGTGCTGTAAGGGTCACCAAATGTGCCGAAAACCCCAGATACCTCCTCGAATGAACATCCGGCCTTAACTATTGCGGTAAGAACCCCAAGTGTGGCCACACTGTTTGGGGAATAAACATCCTATAGATATCTATAGATGGGAGCAATTTATCTTCCAACAAACCACAATCTGTATCCATCTGTCTCCTCGCCTTTGGCTCGCGGATTTGGAACATACCCTGGAGAAGCCTCCTGAAGCCAATGAAAGACATGGAGGACCCGGCCAGAGCAGGACATAGCAGGACATATATTTTGGCTACATATACAGTACACAGATATATATATATATGTGATTATATTATATATATGTGTGTGTGTGGCTATGTATGCGAGTAGATAATATCAAATAGATAGACTGGATGGATCGGATCAGATCGGGTACAGCCGCTTGCTTCACCATTTCCCACCTGGTCGGACTGCTGCAGCATGCTCATGAGCCTGGCTACGGCTGTTTGGGGGTTTGAGGCTTTGGGGGGTTGTAATCCCATCCCCCTAATGTTAAACACCACCTAAATGGTCCCAAATGTGTGTAAATCTCCTTAAACCATGGTTTCTGGGAGGTGTTTAATATTACATAAGGGGATGGGATTAGTGAAATCTCTGGTTTGGGGGGATCCCCCATTTGAAGAAACCCCCACATCTTGGCCCCTTGGGTCCCAATGGAAACCCAATTCCTTCATCCTCGGACAATAGAAAACACCAAAAAGATCTAAACATATCTTAACGCCAACTAAATTTCAAAGCCCTGCCAGGGAAAGACATCCATTTCCTGTAGCTTGCACCAGCTCCTAATATCTCCTAAGTACACTGTCTACACTGACATTGGTATCGGTCAACACACGATGTTCATCCCGCAATCCTATGCCGGGCCTTCTAATGAGCTCGAGGGACATGGGTTCCAAATTCACCACCCAGCGCTCCAAGCGATTAAACTTCGCGTCCAAGCCTAAATGGGTGCAGCAGAATGACTCGAACCGAACCATTCTTGCTGTGGATCAAATGATATCAAGTGGTGTGCGAGCGCCACAGGGTCTTGATTGATAAAGCAAGCTGGTCATGGTCATGGCTGCATGAGGGTCCTCCCTTGAAACTTCTCAAGCCAAAGGGCGGCTCTTGGAGAGGAGCCAGGCTGCGGCATCTGAAAAGCTGTTGCAGTTCTTCCTCTGCTGCCCACCACTGAGGGGCAAGGCGATGATGGGCCCCTTACATATGGCTGGAAGAGGATGCATATGTTGGCCGCGAGTCACCGAATATATGGAGTTTTCAGTTGCCTGTGATACGCATAGCTCAGATCACGATGTGGCGGTCAAATAGGCCAACATGAACTGAAAGATTTTTGATCAGCTGCAGGACAAGAATCCTGGGTTAGGTGCATCCAACTACAGCTGTTAGGGCTCATCTGCATCATCTGGTCTCTCAACCCTTACAGCTCACCCCTTCCGTCCTCCGGTACCGGTCCTCAAGACGTCGTAGGTGCCCTCCTCGAAAAACGGATCTAAAATCCCTGCAGCCTGCCCTGAATCCAACCTG